GTCCCCGGGATCCCTGGAGGGGTTGAAGAGTCGGGCTGAGCCAGCGCTGAGGGATCTGGGGGAGTTGGGAACGGTCAGGGGGAGGGTCATGGTTGGGCTGTTCAAGGGCTTTTCCAACCAAGATGATTCTGTGATCCCACCTCACATCTGTTCACAACCCAAGGAGGTGAGACCTGTCACATGGTTGCTCACAGTCCCAGCCAGCAGCTTTGCCATCACTCAACAACTTACTGTCTAGCAGCAGATCTGTTATATCCAGCTCCAGAGAAGGAATGATTTTGCTGAACATTTTATATTCCTTCCCAAAACGCGGCATTTGGATAATGAAGCAAGATGGGATCTGGAAGAAGAAAGTCAAATGGGTCACCCTGCCAGAAGAGACAAGCCCAAGAGAATCTTCTCCCCATCCTTCTGCTGGGAATAAAGATTTTCTGCTCCAGTTATTCATGAGTCAAAATGGCAACAGGAAAAGCACAGCCCTCTGCCCAGGTCACGCTCAGATTCCCCAAGACCTCTCTTGTGGCTGTATCCTGGTTCTTTGCAGTGTTGGACAACTAGACCCACTGCAGACTCACTGGCAGGCCCTGGTATGTTGGAGGAAGCAAGAAAGAGGCAGCAGAGAGCAGCGTAGGGGGAAGGTAGCTGGGCTCACCTCCACTAGCTTCAGATCAGAGGACAGGAAGGAGCGTTCCACTAACTGCTGCACGTCAGGAACCACCAGATCCTCCTGTTTGTCCATAAATATCTGGTAGCAGTAACAGTCCTGCTCCTTCTGGCCTCCTGACCTGCAAGGAGTGGGCACGGGGCTTGTTTATGTGGTGCCACCAAATTCTGAGCTCCCAGAGGACATAGTGGGTTTGTCCTGCAAGAGCTTCTGAGCCCAAGGCATCAAGGGCTGCTTGGTGCAACACAAGGTACTTTTTCCACCTAGAAATGCTAAATACATGACACGAGAAGAGGATACAAATACCATCTTCAGTGCTGTGATCCCTCCACAGCATCACATCCTGCTCCTATAAGCAAAACTCGATTTCTCCTCGTTGATGTAAATATTAAAAGACACTTCAGTGATTTTTCAATCAACTGCACTACGGCACCACCAGCAAACCCTTTCTCAGGTGAAAGATCTATTTATAACCACACGTACAAAAGCCACAGAGCAAAACTCAGTACATTCAAAAGGTGAGTTGTGTGCAGATCTCCCCCAGGCCCCACATCCCTGAGCCAGCAGAGGAAGGATTTCCTTCAGATGACCCTTTGCAGGGGAGCTGCAGCAGAGAGTCATCTTTGTGCTCAGCCTTTCCCAGTACTCCACGATCTACGGTTTGACTGACGGCTCCACAAAGGAGCACAGAAACCCAACAATCCCCTTCTATGCTCCTGAACAGCAGAGTTATTTTTGGCTTCCTTCAGCCTCTCATCCTCTTTGTAGAGTCCTGAAAAACTGGGACTGTATCCATGGACTCCCTGTTTGAGAGGCTGCAGGACCTGAGCCAGCTTGACAGGCTGGACACAGCCCAAAGCTGTCAAATACTGCTGGCTCCACGCTGAAGTTGGACACTACGTTTTTTCAAACCACTGTTGGCTCTCTCTAAGGACAAGGGTTTTATTATCATTTTCTGGAGGCAGCACCTCCAGGGGAAAGTTTAAAAGTGTCTTTTCCTGGTTGTGTCACCTGGGACAAAATCACAGGGACAGCAGAGAGGAGCTGCAGGCAACTCACCGAGCTGCACCTCCAACGCCTCAATCAAAAGGGGCAAGTAACACCCGGTGATCGTGAGGCGGATCACTAACGAGCCCGGGTAGAGATGGAAACTTACTGCAGTTTTAAGAGCGGCTCAATTCCCAGGATCTGATGCATGATGAGATTGAGGAACTCCTCAGGATCTGGAAGGCGAAGAGAAAAAGCCCAGGTCACACCACCCCAGGAATGCTGCTTTGCCCTGCTGCATCCGAAGGCAAAAAGCTGCCAGAGAAACACGAACCAGCATTTTGGTGAATGTGGAATCTCCTCTTTTACTCTAGGTAAGGAGGGGAAAATCAGGCCAAAAGCTGAGAGCACTTGGTTAATGCAGAAATCCTAGGGCGAGCATGAAAAAAAGCAAACCAGCCTTCAGATACTGCACTCTTACAAGCCAGGCCATCGCAGCAACACTGCCTCAGAGATGGGAACAGATTGTTACTGCTAACACTAAAACCATAAACACAAAGTAAAATCAGGGACAACTATGGAAAAATCAAGAAACTGCACAGTTAAAACTACCCTCGGCTAAAATAAATATACAGTAGTACAAAACACAAGTGCTGTTCACTGACCAGGTACCTGCTGTTTCTAGAAAAATCAACGCCACTTGTTTAGTATCCAGGTACTTTGGGGTCGTTGCAGTGATGTTTGGGACTGGTGAATTCTGTTTTCTTGTAAACTACACAGGGCTTTGCTGTGCGTGGATGGGAATGTGGAACCAGAGATCGGTGGGTTTCAGCTGTAGGTGTTTTCTGTCTTATTTTAAGCAGACTGTGGTCTTTGAGAAATCTTAACTAATTTACTAGCACTCAAAGACAACTTGATCTTGGCAAAATGATAAAATCAAGCTGGATTCTAGCCAGGACATCAGGGATGGACTTATCAGTAAGTCAAAGTAAAGGGAATTCCCTTCATTTAAATTCTGTTCACACAGATCTTCCTCTCCCCTCCTGGTTAACAGCTGCCACCAGGTAAAGACCCAGCAATTCCCACCTTTCCCTCAGACTTCAGGACAAATTTCAGTTGAAAAGCCCGTAGAGTTTTAAAAGCTGAAAGTATTTCACGTGTGCATGAAATGAAGAGCACAGCGGGCGTGTTAACGAACGTGCCTGGGAGAAGCATATAATTAAGTTGTCAGCCTGGTGCCTGGATGAGGCAACGCACAACGAAACAGCCCGAGGAAGGCCCCAGAGAGCACGTTACCTTTCTCAGCGTTGGTAAAACTTGAACACTGGCCTTTTTCAGTCAGCTGCTCCCTCAGGTGCATCACGCTCCTAGCCCTGACAAAGCCAGTCCTAGAAACGAGAAGCAGCAGCAGATTATCTCGCCAGTGTATTTAAATCACAGAATCATGGAATGCTTTGGGGTGGGAGGGACTTTTAAAGATCATTTAGTCCAACCCCCCTGCCCCAGGCAGGGCCACCTTCCACTAGCCCAGGTTGCCCAAAGCCCCGTCCAACCTGGCCTTGAACCCTTCCAGGGAGGGGGCAGCCACAGCTTCTCTGGGCAGCCTGTGCCAGGGCCTCACCCCCCTCACAGGGGAGAATTTCTGCCTTAGATCTAAGCTAAATCTGCGGTGTTTAGTTTAAAACTGTTCCCCTCATCCTATCCCTCCGCCCTGATGACGAGTCCCTCTCCCCTTTCCTGCAGCCCCTTTCAGCCCTGGGAGGCCGCTCTAAGGTCTCCCCGGCGCCTTCTCTTCCCCAGCTGAACTCCCCAACTCTCTCAGCCTTTCCCCCCAGCAGAGCTGCTCCAGCCCTCGGACCATTCCCGTGTCCCTCCTCCGGCCCCGCTCCAGCAGCTCCGTGTCTGTCCTGTGCTGGGGACCCCAGAGCTGGACGCGGGGCTCCGGGGGGTCTCACCAGAGGGGAGCAGAGGGGGAGAATCCCCTCCCTCGACCTGCTGGCCACGCTGCTTGGGACACAGCCCAGCTTACAGTTGGCTGTCTGGGCTGCGAGGGCACATTGCCAGGTCACGTACAATTTTTCAGCCCTGAGTCCTTCTCCTTGGGGGTGCTCTCAATCAAATCTCAGCATCACAAAACGCCCCAGGGTTGTATTTCTGCAGCCAGTGCCAGACACTGGTCCTCAAGGAAGATATTAATGCCTTAATGTTGTCAGCTCTCCTGTCTCTCTTCCACTCCTCTCTAGGGAGGATGAGGAATGAACCAGGTATCTTTGATATAAATTCCAGAGAATTTAGCTCTCATGCCATGGTCTACACTCATGCAATCCCAGTCTGGGATTAACTGCTGATGAAGACAATGCCATTGCTTCATCAGCTCCAGGGTTTCTCCACAGAGGTGGTCTCAATCCCAGGAATCCTCCTTCAATCCTTTCACTGAGAACTACAGCTCACAGGGCTTCCTACAGAGCAGGAGAGACTCACGCAGTCGGAGTCACGACAGCCTCACAGCCTGGGGAATGGAAAAACTGGAAGAGAAACCTGATATGAAAACCTTTGAATGTGGCTGGCAGGAGAAACCCTCGAGGGAACCCTTTCCCTCAGTGACAGGTACCATCTGGCAGGGCAGGAGCGAAGGTATGAAGGCTGATGGATGATTTCCAGGATTCCCACATACTATACTCACTTTCGGAGGGGATTAACAATCTCATCCCGCAGAATGCTCTGGACATTCCTGTCACACAGAGTGAAGGGCTTGAAGAGCATGGAGTCCAGCACGGACGTACAGGAGAAGAGGCTGTGAAAAAAAGTGTGAGGGGAGTAAGTCCAGTGGGTTTGCAGCAATAGTTAGAACCAAACCATTATGCCCGGTGTTCGGTGGCTTTTATTGTCAACAGTTCACGCATGCACTTACGGAAGAGTGAGTGTCAGCACATCTCTGCAATGAGAGAAACCACCTCTGGTTTAACAAACACTGGTAGCAAAGCAAGGAAACAGCTCAGAGAGAATGAAATCTCGTACTTTGCAGCCAAAACTGCGCACGGTGGGGGCACCACTGAGTCTTTTCCTCTCCAAACAGTGCTGCACAGTGAAGCTGGGACCTCCTGGGTGGTTTCTTTGAAATGTTTCCAGCCACTACCTCCAGTGACAAGAGCCAGCACAGTCCAAATCTAGAGAACTACGATCTCTCACCGCCCTGCACGACACACACATGTACCTGAGGTACTCACGAGAGGTACTTCAGGGCCTGAGAACCTACCAGACTGGGAAGGAGATAAAAAAAAGCAGGAAGCATCGAGGCTGCGTCCCCACACGGGTACATTCTGCTCTATAACAGGCACATTTCCAGGCACCTTAGAAATCCAGGGAAATGCTCCAGTTTAGGGCTCAGCCCAATTGAAAGAAAACACTCACTTAATGACACAGCACCACCCCAGCAGGCCCTTACCTGAAGAGAGCTGCGTCCATATAGCAGGAATTACAGTGGCCTTGGATGCCCTTCATCCGCCCTCGCAGGACATGCACTGCTGCCTCGTTCCTGAGGGGAGGAAAACTGTCTGGAGCCTGCGGAAGAACTTCTTGCCCTCCTGAAAGAGAGGAAACAAAACCAAGACCCTTTAGTTTCCTACCTTGTCTGGGTTCAGCTCTGCCCTTCCCCAGTGCCCCAGAGGTCTGCTCTGCTCAGAAGCCAGCACCACGCTCCTGCTGGGATGAAGATTTGTCTCTAAGCGTCAGAGGTGGCTTTCTCAGTCTGGTCCTTCCTCGTTTCCTCAGCTTTCTCCTCTTGTAATTCAATACCCTTTCTTCAGCATGTCCTTAAGACATTACCCCTTGTCCCTATGGCCAGTTTTGGGGCAATCCGTGCAGGAATCCCATCTTCTCACTTAGTGATCTCCTTTACTTTCTAAACGGCTGGTTTACACTGTCTGCTTTGGAGGCATTTCTTGATTTAATCCTTTCTCCCTTTCCAAACTTTCTCTTCTTTCTCAGTCCCCTGGTGCAACGCTTGACATCCTGGGCCTGAGCTACCGACTCCAACCCTCCAGAGCCATATGTGCAGTTTACATTTAACATACAGTGGCAAGGAGAGCCCCTATAGCTAAACCACTTCTCCATAATCACGATAAAATTATACAAGACCTTTTCTCAGCCCTGAAAGCCATAGGCAGAAGAATCCTGTCTGGCTTGTAGCATTCACAGTGCATTGCAAAGACTGTTGCTCTGGACTTCTACCCTCTGTTACCCCCCAACATTTCCTGCCAGCTTCCCCTTCTCCAACACATCCAGGCCAGCAAGGCCTCATTTTTAGAACCACTCTATAAGTGATGTCCTAGTCTAGGTTATCCCTGTAACAAATTACTTACCGTCTCTCACACCTGTGGGGCATTCCCTATAAATACCATCATGGCAACCTCAGCATCCTAAAAACTGACATATTTTGGAACATGTAAAGAAAGCAAAGAATATTACAGAATCCCAGAATCATCTGGGTTTGAAAAGGCCCTTGCAGCTCCTCCAGCCCAACCATGACCCTCCCCCTGACCGTTCCCAACTCCCCCAGACCCCTCAGCGCTGGCTCAGCCCGACTCTTCAACCCCTCCAGGGATCCCGGGGACTCCCCCCTGCCCTGGGCAGCCCATTCCAACGCCCAACAGCCCCTTCTGCACAGAAATCCTTCCTCAGAGCCAGCCTGACCCTGCCCTGGGCAGCTTGAGGCCATTCCCTCGGGGCCTGGCGCTGGCTCCTTGGCTCCAGAGACTCATCCCCCCTCTCTGCCCCCTCCTGGCAGGGAGTTGCCGAGGGCCAGGAGGTCTCCCCTCAGCCTCCTCTTCTCCAGACTGAACCCCCCCACTTCCCCCAGCCGCTCCCCAGCAGACCTGTGCTCCAGACCCTGCCCCAGCTCTGTTGCCCTTCTCTGGCCACGCTCGAGTCATTCAATGGCCTTTTTGGGGTGAGGGGCCCAGAACTGAACCCCCTCAGCGAGGGGTGGCCTCCCCAGTGCCGAGCCCAGGGCTCAGATCCCTTCCCTGTCCCTGCTGGCCACGCCAGTGCTGACACCATCCAGGATGCCGTTGCCCTCCTTGGCCCCCTGGGCACACTCTGGCTCATTCTCACCCCCCAGTCCCTCTCTGACCGGCAGCTCTCCAGCCACTCCTCCCCAGGCCTGGAGCCCCCCTGGGGGTTGTTGTGGCCCAAGGGCAGCCCCCGGCATTTGCCCTCAGTGAAACTCGCCCAGTTGGGCTCAGCCCATCGCTCCAGCCTGCCCAGATCCCTCTGCAGAGCACTAATTAAAACACCGTGCATGAGGGTTCTCCATAGCGTGTCTTATCCCAGCACAGCCCTGTCTCCCCTCACCCCAGAGAACTCACTGTAATCCACGAGGCTCAGGTCGCTCTCGTGCGAAAACTGGAAGCGGACGTCGGGCTGGCAGGACTGCAGCTTCACGAAGAGGCCACGTTTTGGAGCGCAGTGGAAGTAATATTTGCCCAGCCATTCGCCAGCAGTGACCCCTTTATCTTCATCCTGGAAAAAGAGCATTGAGGAATAACACAAGAGCAGGTTTTCCAGGACTGAGGTGCAATCTCCCACACGGCCACTTAAAATATTAAGAGCTGTGTACAAATTTTGTCCCATTTTATTGACTGTTCTAATTTATTCCGGTTATATTTTAAACCTCTTGATGCTGCTTGTAGGATTCACAATTATTCCATCCCACATTCCAATAACATTGCTCTAGAAGAGAGCAAACCAACCCTCATCATCATACCAGAAACTCTCCTCCCCAGCCTCAGGGAGAGCACAGTTGTGTGTTTGCCCTCACAGTTCACACTCTGACAGGTCACAGGCCCAGCTCAGGCTGGGAGATAAGCAGCCACAAGCTGAAGCTCTTAAAAGAGAAGAGCAGCCGTGACCCGCCCGTTCTGATATACAATCTCACAGCAGGAAATATTTTGCTCCTTACCAGTTCAACTCCTGCCATTTTGTCTTTAATTTGGGGCAGGTAGCCCAACCAGCGGATGATTCCTGAAACCTGATTTCCCTTGTCCAAGGTGATCTGGACCATGGAGTTCACCTCCAGGGATGAATTCCCACTTTCACACTCCTCACCGCTCTCGTTTATCTCTCGTTTCATTTGGGTTGGGCGTCCCAAGCCCATGTCGGACTCAAACAGTGAATATAAACCTGGTGGGCAATACAAAACGTCAGGTGAGGTAGGAAGTCAACACCTAATGACAGACACCTCTGGATCTCACCTAATACTGGGTTTATTTTAAAATTATAGACCACACGGACAAGCATGAAGCTGAGCACCAGAGACACAAGGTGTAATTCCCAGTGATACGGCCAAACTGGTCTAACAGGCTGATGATCCTTCTCCTTGTTTCTCCACCCAAGGCTGCACATTCCAGCCTCTCGCTGGCCCTGGAGCTCATCCAGCCCTTCACAGAGCCATTTCGCACTACTGAAACGGCAGTAGGGGGGTTATTTCCAAATTATTTTTCTGCCTTTAGTGAGATGAAACAACTCAGTGTAGAGCCTAACGATGGGTCCCCTCAGGCTGGCCCTGACAGCTGCACGGTGTCTTTTGATGGCAACGAAGAGATTCCACTAATTTCTTGGATTGTCCGATGACTCACGCCATCGCTGCTGTCATCTGTGCCTTTCTGAGTGTGTCTGGCATCAGGATGAGGCTCCTGCTCCATCTTCTACAGCTAAATTAAAGACTCTTTAACCAGTGGTGCCTTCTCCTCTAGGAAATCCTTCTGCACTGCAATCAGATTCTTTCTTCTTCCTGACAAACGGGTAGGCTCAGCTTTAGTTGCCTAACGCAAGGAATTCTGTCCAGAACTTAAGGCTTTTCCATGGACCTTCTCTGCCGATCAACTAAATTGGGACTAACTGAAACTTTTGTTGGACTTTCAGCTCGTCAGTAGCAGGCAGAAAAGAAACAAATGCTAAATCCCCAGGAATGTACACAGGGCAGACACATGATGGTAACCTACTTGGCAAGCTTTCCTTCACAACAGAGTCCATAGGGATTTCTCTGAAAATGTCCGTTGTTCCTTCCTCTTCCTGAAAGGAGAGAAAAATCTATCAGCTAAATGCTTTGTCAGACATAGGGCATTCCTGGAATACAAACCAATTTTTCAAACAGGCCTGGAGAGCTTGCATGTAACCTTATGTATCTTACGGATGTTCTTTCCACTTCTGTTTAACGTCCCACCATAAAACCATTTTTAAAAATATCCCCTAAAATGAGAAAAAGGCAGCAAGACTGCTCTTACCGGACAAACTTTCACGAACCATTGCGTTCCCTCCCTGTAAACTGCCATCGCTATTCCTTTTGTGAGCACCTTGTCCACGTAGAAGCTAACTGCATCTCCCACTTTCACAGGAACCACCTCCTCCGTGTCCAGTTTTGGCTTCTGTTTCCCACAGCTGTCATCTGGCGCGGGAGCAAACTGGACTCTGCTGAACGGCAGGAAGATCCCGCAGTTCCGCTTGCACTTGAAATACTCAGTGCCGTGGTAAGATCCATTGCTGCGCCCTCTGTTCTCTCCCTCGCCCTGAAAACAAGCCAGAACGGCCTGTTACATACACAAATATAAAGGGAAAACAAGCAACTTACTTATTTTTTGGTCACATTACCTGTAACTCCACGCCGAAGAAGAACGGGGACAGCACAGGTGAAGTGTTCTTGGAAATGCTCCCGATGTAGCGGATGATACCAGGGACATATTGACGGTCAACCTCCACCATCACTTTTTGGCCTGGCACGGCCTGCAGAGCTGCTTCAAGGCTCAGCCTCTCCAAGAAGTAGTTCAAGCGTTCGTTGTGGCTGCTGATGGCCAGGAGGAAGACGGCCATGTCCTCGCGCACAGGCTGAAGGATTTCTATGTTTATGGTAACGGTGGAGCTGTCATCCAGCATGATAACTTTCAAAAAGCAAGCCGAGGGCCCGTCATCGGAGAAGTTGCGCAGGTAACTTCTCTCGCTGCAGAAACACATGTTCCCAGCTTGGAAGTACTTGCTGCCATAGGCACAGTCTTCTGTCAGGATGTAGTAGCAGTTCCCGTCCCCCGGTGAAGGCAGGAGGCTGGTCATCGTCATTCCCCTGGGTTGTGAGAAACGAGAGGAGTCACACCAGTGAAGAGATGTGCGTGTTGTCGCAGGATCTCAGAAGGATTCAGGCTGGAAAAAGTCTCAAGCCCAACCTCCTGCTCAAAGCGGGTTGTGCAAAGCCTCACCCATTTGACTTTTGGTGAGGCCACACCTTGATTCCTGGGTTCAGTTCTGGGCCCCTCACCCCAAAAAGGCCATTGAATGACTCGAGCGTGGCCAGAGAAGGGCAACGGAGCTGGGGCAGGGTCTGGAGCACAGGTCTGCTGGGGAGCGGCTGGGGGAACTGGGGGGGTTCAGTCTGGAGAAGAGGAGGCTGAGGGGAGACCTCCTGGCCCTCGGCAACTCCCTGCCAGGAGGGGGCAGAGAGGGGGGATGAGTCTCTGGAGCCAAGGCCCCAGCGCCAGGCCCCGAGGGAATGGCCTCAAGCTGCCCAGGGCAGGGTCAGGCTGGCTCTGAGGAAGGATTTCTGTGCAGAAGGGGCTGTTGGGCGTTGGAATGGGCTGCCCAGGGCAGGGGGGAGTCCCCGGGATCCCTGGGGGGGTTGAAGAGTCGGGCTGAGCCAGCGCTGAGGGATCTGGGGGAGTTGGGAATGGTCAGGGGGAGGGTCATGGTTGGGCTGGAGGAGCTGCAAGGGCTTTTCCAACCCAGATGATTCCGTGATCTCCAATGAGAGATCCCACAGCTTCCCCAGTCCCTTGTTCCAACGTTTGATCACCCTCATGGTTAAAAAAAAAAAGTTTGCCTAACCAAGGTTTCCCACGTTCCTGCCTGTCCCTGGTTGCCTCCTGTCTGCTCCCTGTGTGCCCCTGGGAAGAATCCAGCTCAGTCTTCTCCACTAAACCCTCCCTGTGAGAAGTTGCACAGAGCAGCAGCTCGTCTGGCCTGTTCTCTATACCACCATACAGCCAGAACAGTCTCATTTAAATTCCACCTCCTGCTTTCTTTTCATACTTGCAGAAGCGAGGCAAAAACAACATTCTGCCTTTGCAAAATTCTCTTAAAAAGGGAGTTCCAGTCCACGACGAGAGCTCTTCAGTGTTGTGTTAGAACATCATAATATTCAAAACATACACAAAGCACAGCCCCGACCGCATTACTAGAGGCACTAAAGATCACCACCTTTCAAAACAAATGTATTAAAAGAAATTAAAGTATCTGGAATCAGAAATCCATTTTTGCAGCTAAATTCTAGCTAAATTCTCATGCATTTTACCCCTCCCCATCTCAATGTTGATGATCATGCACAGCTAGGACCCAGACTTTTTGTTACAACATAAAAAATAGGTGAATATGGAAATTTCTTCCTGTGGGTAGACAGAACTGGTTTGGCCCAACCAGAGAATATAGAGAATAGAGAGAAAACAAGAAATGTGGCTGTTTCTCGGCCATGGAGGAAATAAAGGAAATAAAAAAAAAAAAAAAAGATGCCTCCACCATGGGCTACCTGGTAGAAGTTTCTTACAAGTTTGAAGTGGAGAGAGGAGGAATTGAGCAGATGCAATTAAGGGAAGTAAAAATACAGTCAGGGCATTGTGGCAGGAAGCGTGAACGCAGCTGCTAGCAAGAATAAACGGGTTGGCTGGGAGGAAAACGTAGGCAGAGCTTGAACAGAAAGGCTGCAGAGAGCTCAGCGAGGAGGAGGGCAGCGTTACTGGGGACTTCACTAGGGATTAGTATCAAGAGAGCTCACTTTTAAACATATTAGGAAAAGATAAATCGCTGTTTGTGTTTTAAAAAAATAATAAAATCACCCGATGCCTGATCAGATCCTAGAGGTTTCCTTGTGTTTGGGCTCGTCATGGCAGCTTGTTACAGGAGCCATCTCCCTTTCACTCTTATTTTTTAACCTTAGCAGGCGGGGAGACAGCTCAGAGACCTGTCCAAACGCTGCTGCGCTGCTTTTGGGCAACACTCATTTGCTGAATCTAAAGGTGTGGCCTCAAAAGGGAATAACACCCCCAGAAAACCACGGGTCTCCTCAAATAGCACCCACTGATGTCCGCCACAGCAGAAATACCACGCAGCCAGAGAGCCGATAATCAAACCTGCCCTGTTAAGGCGGCACAAACCACACTCACGCTCTTCCCTCTTTCTGCCGAGGGAACGCAGCTCGATTCATGCCGGGATGAGCGGCTCAGTCCCGGGGCACAAGAGGGGTACGGGGAGCAGCCGTGCTGGGGCAAGACCCCCCGCTCTGCAGTAAGGAAGTTGGGAGGTGGCAACAGGCAGTGGAAAAAATCCCGTGGCACGCAGCAGTGCTTTTATTTCCCATCCACGTAACTCGCTGCTGACATTTCATAACTCTGCCGGCAGAGCAAAGGTTTGAAATTCTGTGGGTTTTTAAAGGATAGAATTAAAGAATAATATTCCATGTCCCACTCCCCCCTGTTCAATCTTCCATTTTCAGGACCTTGATTTTATTTTACTTATTTTTTAGATTGCTCTCTCCACAGGGCATACAAGAAACCCCACCGTGCTTTAAATGCTGCCAAAAGAGGAAAACCAGAATACACCATTTTCCTCACCAGAAACCCAAGAATTAACCGTTTTCCTCACCAGAAACCCAAGAATTAACCGTTTTCCTCACCAGAAACCCAAGAATTAACCCTTTTCCTCACCAGAAACCCAATAATTAACCCTTTTCCTCACCAGAAACCCAAGAATTAACCCTTTTCCTCACCAGAAACCCAAGAATTAACCCTTTTCCTCACCAGAAACCCAAGAATTAACCCTTTTCCTCACCAAAACCCAAGAATAAACC